AGACTCTAGATCACTTTACCAACAGCTAATGAGAGAAGATTTGGAATTTGTTTAAATTCCTGGTGGCAGCAGAAACTACCCTGTTTGTGAACACAAAGTATAATTTAAAGTGAAAACCAGTCCTCCCAAAAAAAGAGGTCACCACAATGGGTCTTGTAAGTAACTACTGGCCATGGTGACTAAAGCAAACCTCCACATTCAGAGGCAGTCAACCTCTAAATACCAGACCCAGGAGGCAACATCAGGGAAAGGCCTCGGCCTCTATGCCCCGTTGTTGGACCTCCAGAAGTCCTGAATCGCCACTCTGTGAGACAGGATGCTGGATTAGATGGACCACTTCTCTGATCCAGCAGGGCTCTTCTGGTGTTCTTAGGAAGGCCTCAGCCTCTCTGCCCTGTTGTTGGCCCTGCAGAGGAACTGGTTGGCCACTTTGTGAGATGGGATGCTGGATCAGTTGGACCACCGGTCTGATCCAGCAGGGCTCTTCTTATGTGAAATCTACAAAATGCCAGTGGCATTTTGAAATATGTAATTTAGCATATGGTTGTTAAAAGACATCTTGTATTTTAACGGTATCACAATTGCCCCTGCTGGATCGGACCAGTGGTCTATCTAGCCCAGCATCCTGTCCCTGACAGTGGCCAACTGAATTGCCCTCAGAAGCCAACAAACAGTGCATAGAGACCGAGGCCTCTGATGTTGGCTCCTAGTTATTAGCAGAAACAAGAAGGGGAAAAAACTAAACCTAACAATAAACTCCAGAACCAAACAAAGGTTAGTGAAAAGGAGGGCCAATATTAAAACCTTTCCATAAAGCAAGATGGTTAATACTTATATTCACATAAACACAATCAGAAATATATACAAAGTATAGATTCAATAAGGACCATAAAGTAAATTGTTCAGAAGTAAAATCACCAGGCACAGGATAAATATGCACATAAGACCTTTAAAGTGCAATCACTAGCCCAGTGATTATAAAATAAACTTATGGTCCAATTTTTTTTTTCTTTGATTGTGTTCCCACAGTATTCACAAGTAAAAAAAGTAAAAAGCAGTGTGCTTGGTGATTTTACTTCTGAACAATTTACTTTATGACCTCTGAGGAAGGCCTATTTGGCCGAAACGCGTAAGGTCAACTTTTTAAGCCCTTGATATTGTTATGTTTTATATACATTGGTTGTAATTGGGCCCCTATATATGTTTTAAATTTGTTATTATCAATAAATACACGTACCTCTTTTTATGGAAAGGTTTTAATATTGGCCCTCCTTTTCACTAACCTTTGTTTGGTTCTGGCTCCTAGTTATTGCCATTCAGAGAATGACTGCCTCTGGATGTAGAGGTTCCCTTTAGTCCCCATGGCTAATAGCCACAGACAGAGTTCTCCTCCATGAATCTTTCTAATTCCCCTTTGAAAGCGATCACGACATCCAGAGGCAGTGAACTGCACAGTTTTACTCATTGAGTAAAGAAGTTGAGACGTTTCTTGACAGGAGAACCACCACAAGTTCCCCAGCGTCATGAACAAAGGAGAGACCTGGGCTGATCTCGCAACCGATTTACAATATGGGTTTTCAAGGCCAGAGACGTTCAGAGGTGGTTTGCTGCTGGCTGCCTCTGCGTAGCGACCCTGGACTTCCTTGGTGGCCTCCCATCCAAGTAGCGACCAGGGCTGACCCTGCTTAGCTTCCGAGATCTGACTAACCTGGACCACCCAGGTCAGGGCAAGCGACAAGCAGGTAGTTTGCCATTGCCTCTGTGACGAAATGGCCGGCAGGCCTTAAAATGGATACCAGCCTGGTAGTTCCTTACGTGGGGGGGGGGGTACTCCATAGGGAACAACGGAGATGCCATACCTCCCTGCCTACACTTCCCAGCAGCCTTGAGGGGAAAGAGCGGGAAAAGAGGGACACACCCCAGGGGCGGGGCCAGGGAGAGGGGGGCTTTTTGGCTCCTGAGGGGAAAAAGAGTCAGTCTCAGCCTGGTCTTCTGCGTGGACGGCAGGTTCCAGGGAGAGCACGGGTGGGACTCCTGTCACCAGAGACTCCGTGGCAGCCCAGGCCACCATTGACCGTGGTGGAGAGCCAGGAGGGTGGCAGTGCTGGTGGCGGAGGAGGAGGAGGGCTGGAGTTTCTCTCCCCAACAGGAGGGGGAAACGCAAATCCGGGCCTGAGGCCGCAATCCTGTGTGGGCAGGGACAGAGGAATTGCGTTTTTTATCCGGTTTATTTTCAGTGCCCCAGTTGTGTTGAAGTGCCGGTGTTTATTTTCTGTGCCCAATATGTATATAGTTCAATAAATCTTCCTTTTTTGAGTTTAAAAAGCCTGGTGCACGTGCCTTAACCACAGGGTCCTCCCCGCTCTGCACGCTACCAGGGGCAAAGGGAGGCCAGGGAACACAAACGGGCCTAAGTCTGAGGGGTTGCCAACTCTCCAGGGGGCGCCCAAAGATCGAGATACCCACTTCCCAAGGTGGGGGATTTAGCCAGAGGGGTCTCACTGTCCAAAATATGTCAAACAAGTGTTGGAAATGTAAAAAACATGAGGGCTCATTTTATCATATGTGGTGGACATGTGAAAAAGCTATAGATTTCTGGTCAAAAATTCATTGTGAAATGCAGAAAATGTTTAAGTGTAGTTTTAAAAAAGAACCAGAGATTTTATTGTTAGGATTGAAAATGGAGGAGTTAAATATTCAAAAAAAGATTATGTTCTGGTACCTGATAACGACGGCGAGAATGGTGTATGCACAATGCTGGAAACAAGAGAAAACGCCCGAGATCTCAGACTGGATACAAAAAGTGTTATTTATGGTAGAAATGGACAAAATAACAAGAAAGTTGAATAACAAAGAAGATCAAGAATTTTTTGAAGACTGGAAAGATTTTAAAGACTATCTAGAGGAAAACTGGGATGTTAAACACAATTTACTGTATCTAGAACAATATTGATAGAAGTGTTATCTTTAACATTTAAGCAATTTTAAAATGTTTAAGCAAATATAAGTATTGTAAAGGGGAAAAGGGTTGAGCACTGCGGGAAGCCACTTGCAAGGGAGGGGGGAAAGGGAAATATGGGTATTGGATAAGTGAAAGTCAATGTTAAATGTGATATTATATCCAAAAAATAAAAGTTTTGTTCAAAAAAAAAAAAAGAGGGGTCTCACTGTCCCTCAAGGAAGGCGGTAACTTAATTCAGTGAGTGGTGGCAGCGTTAATAAAGAGAAATAGTCCCACCAGGCAGGGTGGGAAGGCCAAAACAGGGGCTTGCGAGCCACAGGACGGCACCTCAGTCTCCCAGGGCTGGGGGCGGGTCCCCGTTTCGCCACAGCCTCTGCATAGTGACCCTAGACTTCCTTGGTGGTCTCCCATCCAAGTACTCACCAGCAGTTTTCCCTCTGAGTTAGTGTGAGCCAGCTCACAGTTTTTTTAGCTTCTGGCTCACACATTTTTGTCTCCGCTCAGGAAGGAGGGCTCCAGAGCAAACTCATTTATGCAGCAGCCAAATCGCTCACTCACAACCTTTAATGCCAGCAGCTCACAAAGTAGGATTTTTGCTCACAAGACTCCACAGCTTAGAGGGAGCATTGCTCACTAGGGCCGACCCTGCTTAGCTTCCGAGATCTGACAAGATCAGGCCAGCCTGGGCATTTGTGTCAGGCCAAGAGATGAACAGAGGTGGTTTGCCATTGCCTGCCTCTGCATAGCAACCCTAGACTTTCTTGGTGGTGGTCTCCCATCCATGTACTGATCCCTGCTCAGCTTCCGAGATCTGATGGGATTGGGCTAGCCTGGGCTATCCAGGGCAGGGCAGGGCCAAAGCGTGAAGCTGCTTAAATGGGTGAGCCGAGGCTGACCACAGTGTCTCAAGGTGTTGGCTTCGACAGCACCACCACTGACCTTTGACCCTCTTCTGTAGAACCTGGCGTCCGGTTTCCCCCGAGTTGCTCTGTTGAACGGTGCTCGGGGCCAAGTCCCTGATGGCCAGAACCTGAAGTGGGTTTTCCTCTGCAAAGCAACAGAAACAGACCGTTGTTTTTTCCCCCCTCCCGGGGGAACCATGAGTCACCTGTGCCTTAATGGCTTTTTCCACCCCTACTCACCTGTGATGAGGAAACGGAAGAGTTCTATGCTACTTCAGACTACATTTTGGGCTTAGAGTCAAGGATCACTGAAAGAAGCCTTGTTTCGAGTCAGACCTGTGGTCCCCATTGAGTCTGGGGACCAGCTAGGATTGCCGACTCCAGCTTGGGAATTTCCTGGATATTTGGAGGTGGAGCCTGGGATGCACAGGGTTTGGGAACAAGGCAGATCCAGTCGGGGATCGGGTGGGACTTACATGGAGAAAGAGAAAGGCCTCATTGGTGTAGTGGTTAAATGCACAGACTCTAATCTGGGAGAACCGGGTTTGATTCCCCACTCCTCCACTCGCACCTGCTGGATGACCTTGGGCAAGCCACAGTTCTGTCAGAGCTGTTCTTGAAAAAGAGCAGTTTCTGTCAGAGCTCTCTCAGCCCCGCCTACCTCATAGGGTGTCTGTTGTGGGAGGGGAAGGGAAAGGAGTTTGTAAGCCACTCTGAGACTCCGAGTGAAGCGTCGGGTATAAATCCAATCTCTTCCTTCCTCTTCCATTGCTGGTGTCGCATAAGAAGGCACATCATCACACCACAATGTCTAGGAGGCATTCTGGTATTTGGGCAAAACCTCTATGGTAAAACTGGCTTCTACCACAGAGTTTTTGCCCAAATACCAGAGCGCTGCCTGCACGTCGCAGGTGTGATGATGTCACTTCCTGTGCAATGCTGGCAACGAGGCCTGGGCCTTTCTCTTTCTCCAGGTAAGTCCCCCTGCTGGGCGGCTGGGGAGCAGGGCCTGGTGGTGGGGGGCCTCCACCCAGGGGGGGTCTGGCAACCCTGTGATTCATTGTAATTCCAGAGTCTGCCCCACTTGAGGAAGGATAAGCATGAGATGTCCCATCCATCTTCCCTCTCCTAGCAATTTAAGCCTCTCTTCCCGTTAATGTGGAATATTTGGCCAGCAAAGGTGGTTTCTCTATCAGCCACTGCGTGGCAAGGACCACATGGCCAGAGAGATGGCACCCAATAGTTTTACCTGCTGGGTGGCTGGTGGGAAATTTGATCTTCGTGGCTCCAGACGGGACGTGGGTTGCATTGCTCACGACAACGTCGGGCGACTGGCAAAGCTCGGTTTCAGCCGGCCGACTTTTGGAGATGTGGTCCGTGCGGCTGGAGGGACTCCGATGTTTTACTCGAGAGGCCTGCAAGATATGCCCCTTCCGTTAATTCAGATCTGAACATGTGAAGCTCTCCCCCCATTCCCCAGTTGCTCCTGCCCAGTCCCCCAGCTGCTGATACGCCCATTTTCCATTCAGGAAACATACCGTTGGGGAGGTGGGTTCAAGGGAGCGCGATCTTTTCTTCCCTGTTTTCTTTTCCCAGAACTTCTTCCTCCCTCTTTCTTTCTCCGGCCCCTTCCGAGGCTTGGGGTGAGGCCGTTCCTTTTCCTGGGCCTCTGTCGGAATGCTGTCGATGCTCTCGGTGTCTCTGGAATAGTGCTCAGGAGTGACGCTGGGCTGGAGGTACTTCAGCTCCAACAATTCGTCCTCCAAACCGTGAAGGGAAGAGAGCTCACTGCTGGGGTGTCTGTCCCGGGCCCGGGAGCGGCGGCTGGCGGCAATGAGAGCGATCCGTTTTGTGCTGTCGGCAATCTCCTTCAGGGTTTCTTGGTTCAGGGGGACGTCTGCACTGGACTTCTTCTGGCCGAAGTTGTGGGAGGCGGGGGAGCTGAGCTTGGAGTCCAGCTTTTGGGAGGAAATGCCGAGCGCCCTCGGCTGGAGACCAAGAAAGCAGAGAATTCAGTGCGTGTTCAGTTTTTGGGTTCCCAGCTCTGGGTTGGGAAATCCCTGGAGGTTCATGGGGTGGTGGAATGTGGGGAGGGGAGGGACTCATGGCAGGCTATAATGACAGAGAGTCCCACAGTGATCTCCATAGGACTCAAGATCACAGTCAGGGAGAGACCCCCCCTGACTGTCCCATCAATCAAAGAAGCTTGTTTGGTGGGTACACAAAAGAGGGCCTTTTTGGTGGCAGCCCCCTGACCATGGAAGAACCCCTCCGAGGGGGTGCGCGCCTGGCCCCCCCTCACTTTAGGAGGCAGCTCAAAATGATTTTATTTAGGACCACATTCACTTAAGGCTTACTAGCAGTCCTGAACTGTGATTTTAAAGGTTGGCCTTTATGTGGTTAATGTATATTCTTTTGTGGATTTTCTCTATGTTGCAAGCAGTGTTCCCCCTAAGCTGAGTTAGTGTGAGCTAGCTCACAGTTTTTTAGCCTCCAGCTCGCGTTTTCGTCCTAGCTGTGGGAGGATGGCTCCAGAGCAAACTAATTTATGCAGCAGCCAAATCGCTCACTCGCCACTTTAATGCCAGTAGCTCACAAAGTAGAATTTTTGCTCACAAGACTCTCCACAGCTTAGAGGGAACATTGGGCAAGCCACCCTGAGCTCCATAAAGAAGGAAGACAGCTAATAAATATATTAAATAAATGAAACAAGTAAATAGCCCGGAGATCAGTTGTAATCTTGAACAGTGTTCCCTCTAAGCTGGGTTAGTGTGAGCTAGCTCACAGTTTTTTAGCCTCCGGCTCAGGAAGAAGGGCTCCAGAGCAAACTAACTTATGCAGTAGCCAAATCGCTCACTCACAACTTTCATGCCAGTAACTCACAAAGTAGAGTTTTTCCTCACAGGACTCTACAGCTTAGGGGGAGCATTGGTCTTGAATGGAATCTGGGGGACATGGGTTCGAATTCCCATTGTGCCATGGAAACTCACTGCGGGACCTCGGGCCACTCACACTCACTCAGCCTAACCCACCTCACAGGGTTGTTGTGAGGATAAAATGGAAGAGAAGTGAATCAGGCCAGCCGCTTTGGGTCCCCACCGGGAAGAAAGGCGCGGTATAAGTGATGTAGATAAACAGATTAGATTAGACGGCTTAAATACACCAGGTAAGAGACACAAGCTTGATAAGAAAGAGAAGAGAAGATGAAATAAACAGTAAACTAGATAAGAAAGATAAGATGACAGGGATGGATCAGATGAGATTTCTGACTGACTGACTTGGCGAACGGGTGTTCTCAGGAAGTGCAGCAAAGTCGGACTACGATTCCACTCCCAGCTCCTCTTTTTCCGGGCTGGGGTATTTTTAGCTGGTCTGTAGCTGTCACTGAGGAAGAGAAAATACAGGCAGGTAAGCAAAGGAACAGGCCACTATTCTTCAGGGCATGGAAAACTACCGATGGGAGCACGCCAACCCCGACTGACCTCTAGCAAAGCTCAGTGGAAAATTCATATGATTCTTATAAAACCGGAACGGAGGTGTTGGGGGCAAGAGAAAGAGCACTGCAGGGTGTGACGGTTCTCATCCACAGCATCTCATCCCTCCCTCTCTGAGAGGGTTGCCAACCTCCAGGTGGTGGCTGGAGATATCCTGGGATTACAACTGACCTCCAGGTGACAGAGATGAATTCTCCTGGAGAAAATGGCCACTTTGGAAGGTGGATTCTATGTCTCTATGCCCCATCAAAGTCCCCCCCTCCACAAATCCTGCCGTCCTCAAGCTACACCCCCAAAATCTCCAGGTATTTCCCAACCTGGAGCTGGCAACCCTGCTCTCTGGGGAGTGTAAACCAAGCCCCAGAGACAGGAGTTTTCATTTGTAAATATTCCTTGATCTCAAAATACCACCCTATACTCTCTGCTTCTGTTCCCAAGGTGGCGTCCAGCGTTCCTATTAAAACAATTGAAATACAAATGCCACAACAAAAACTATACAACATAAAAATCTCAGCAGCATAGGGCGGCGGGGGGGGGGAATGCAGCGTATAAACCAATTTTGAAAAGTACGCAGACGGAAGAGTGATTTCAGCTTAACGTACTTTATTTAGGGCAGAACAAGACAACCTTAGCCGGCTCGCAGGCTGGCTTATATCCCCTGTGAAACCTCCACCCAGAACACACCCCCACTTCCCAATAGGTTGTTTACAGTGGCTGAGAGTTCCATAGGCTCTCGGCCGGGAGCACTAGCCCTCGGATAGGCATGGGCTAGGATCCGCATAGTCCATTGTTCCTCTGAGCGAAGCTCGATGTTTGCGTTTGACCGAGTGGTGCCGAAGCTGGCCACGCAGTCGGAACTGGATACATTACAAGTTTGTTAAGAGAGGCACAACATTCACGCAGCTAGAAATCCAGTTTATTTTTCAAAGAAGCATGTTCTTTGGGAAGAAGAAGATAAGAGGGAATGGGAGAGCAGAAAGCAACCAAAAGCTGGGGGGGGGAACAATGTGGTCTCCTGGCGTGTAAACAAAGCACAGCGCCACAAAGCCTCTGCAGGGAGGGAGTTAAGGAGCCACCACCAAGAAGGCCCCGTCTCTTGGGAGCTTACCCGCATTGTCTCTGCCAGTGACAGCATACAAAGCAGGGCCTCTACAATAGTCTCAATTCATGCCTTCTCCCCTGTACATTTTTTTTGCCCCCACATTTTCATCCCGGAGACGAGCAGGGTTTTGTTTGACTGAAAAAAGGGCACATGGGTGTTGGCGGTCCTGGGAAGGGCAGCAATACCTGTCAGGTTCCACAACGATAGGGGGCAGTTCAAATTTTGGTCCCCCGGAGAAATCCTTGTTCTCAAGCGATCCTTTTCGGTTCTCTTCTTTATGTAGTTCTACCTGCAGGGCTCTATCCAGGACGGAGTGTTCCTGGAGAAGCAGGGGAGACACATGCTTTATACAGGGAAGGACAAACCATGGGGGATAGTAGATGGAACAATGGCAGGGCACCCATAGTGCAAGAGAGTTGTTCGGGGGCTATTCCATGAGGAGGGGGCCTACTTCAGTGGAGCAGCTATCCACTGCTGTTGTAATAAGTTTATCAGCATAACCTCCTTCCCAATTATAAGAGCAGCAGCCCAGTAGTGTGTCTGCATCCCTGCCTTGCAATTACTCTTCCTTACCACAGGGAATGCTGTAACACCTCCCAGATTGGAGTGGCCTGTCTCGCAGTAACGCTTTCCCACCACAGGGAGTGCTATATCCTGATGGGATTGGAGTAGCGGCAGTCACCTGGTAGTGTGTGTGCATCCCTGCCTTGCAGTTACTTTTCCCCACCACAGGGAGTGCTATATCCTGATGGGAGTAGCGGCAGCCTGGTAATGTGTCTATATTTCTGGCTTGCAAGTACTTGTCCCCACCACAGGGAGTGCTATACTGCCTCCCTGAATGAAGCAGCAGCAGTAACTCTTCCCTACCACAGGGAGTGCTATATCCTGATGGGAGTAGCGGCAACCTGGTAATGTGTCTATATTTCTGGCTTGCAAGTACTCTTCCCCACCACAGGGAGTGCTGCTTGATAGAAGCAGAACCAGCCTGGTACTGCATCTGCCTTGCAGTTTTTCTTCCCCATGACTGGGGGTAGGGTTGCCAACTTTGCCTGGTAAATTCCCAGAGATCTGACAGTGGTGCCTGTGGAAGGGGGAATTTGGTGAAGGATTTCACCTAGAGTCTGTTTTTACCATGTATGTTTTTAAGGAAGGAACAGGGCTGCCTCACCTGAATTGCACTGGACATCAGGGAGTGAAACACAAGCAGACGGTTCAGGGTCCCTTCTTCTAATTCGTGGGAATAGAGCCAGTACAGCTTTCCTAGTGGGGGTGGAACAGGGATGTTGTGGTCTGTGGTGAAAGGAAGAAAACAATAAATGGGCAATGTCACAAGGCAGGTTACTTGCTTGACACCTCAAGAAATTGAGCACCCAACAAACTCAAAGTGCTCAGAGACTTCCAGGTGGTCAGCCGTGTTGGTCTGAAGCAGAAGAACAAATTGAGAGTCCAGAGTGGCACCTTGAAGACCAACAAAGGTTTATTCACCTTCGTGCACACTTTTTGAAATACATTGGAAGGATGGTGGCTGAACAGCAACTTGACATGTAACATGATGAAGATGCTTTAAGATATGTGAAAACTAAATAACAAGCTAAGGTTATAAGGTCAACAGTTGTAAAGCAATATGTCAAAATAAGACTGAGACTCTATTCACGCCTCTCAGGCATGAGGTCTCTTAACAGCATTTTTATCTTTTGGGGGCATGGGTGTAGTGTATGTCAGCAAAACATTCCAGTATTCTTTGCATTACATTCAGTATTCTAATATACTATTCTGAAAAGAAATACACTAAAATACAGAGGATGTATAGCCCCTTTGTATGAGAATAGATATGTGAGGACTAAGTGGGTTAGCATATGTAATGAGATAAGAAACCAATGTCCCTGTTGAGTCCTGGGTAGGTTTTTGTTCCAAGTGTAGTAATAACTTGTAATTCAGCAGTTTCCCTTTCCATTCTTTTCCTGAAGTTCTTTTGTAATAAAACAGCTACCTTGGGGTCACCCACTGAATGTCCTGCAATCCATGGGGTGGTCTATGGAAACTATGCTGGAAACTCTGTGGTAAAACTATGCAGTTTTTTGGTGATTCCTAGAGTGGGACTGATACTACTTCCAGGGAAAACGTCAGCCATCTCTAAGAATGGCCGAAAACTGTTTTTACCATAGAGTTTCCAGAGATTCCTAGAGAGGTGTGATATGACTTCCAGGTTTTCCTTGGAAGGGACATCATACCATGGGCATGGCAGCCATTTTTTAAAAAAATGTCACTGTTAGTGGCAGCAGGAAACGTGAGCTGGGAGTGGGACATCCCCTGCCCCTACCAGGGGACTGGCAACCCTAGCAGAGACGCATGCAGAACTGCGGCCTTACCCTTTATCAGCAAACGCTGCTGCTGGATGATTTCCTCGCAAAGGCACCGGTGCTGCTGGTGCCGCTGGATGATGAAGTCCTTCTGGCACAGGAGGCTGTTCTTGTACAAGGCGCTGGCCTGCAGCTCCGTGCTGCCCACCTCCAGCTCGTGGGCCCTGCAGAGGAGGCGCAGCACCTCTCTCTGGTCCTCGCTGGTGATCTGCTGGGGCAGGAGCTTCTCCATCTGCGAGGCCTTCTTCTTGGCGTGGGCCAGGCGTTGCTCCAGGTCGGCCTGAACGAGGAAGGGAAGTGCTCCCGTCAACCACCGCAAAATTCTGGGGTGAAAAATCTCCCTTGGTTGCACGTTTTACGGAATGCACAGAAGAAGTGGGATCTGCAATTTTGTCCTTTTAGGACCTCTGCATGTTGGTTGCCATCCTAAGAAAGCTTTTCCCGGGAGGAAGCCCCCACAGAAGAAAAGGGTATTCACTGCTGAGCTTGCTTAAGATCCTAACAGCTTATAAAATTACACAGGAGTCCGTTTACACCAAGACAATTGACATTTGTTCAAGGGTGAGCTTTCGTGAGTCAGAACTCACTTCATCAGTTGCATCGGAGTAGTTATCTGTTAGGCAGATGCCATAGGGCTGGTAAGCCCCTGGGGGAGATGAGGAATCCCCTCACCACCACATCCTGTTGCTTTCCACCACTACAAGCGGTGGTGGGAGAAACATTTAAAAAACCCTCTGCAGCCTCATATTCTTACTGGAAGTGACAATAGGTAGCTCTAGGAATCACCAGAAACTCTACAGTAAAACCATGGAGTTTCTGATGATTCCTAGAACTACCCTTTGTCACTTCCAGTAAGAACTTGCTGAAAGACTATAAGGCTGGAAGAGGGTTTTTTAAAAAGAAAATTTAAATATGGTAAAACCACAGAGTTTCTGGCAATTCCTGGAGCTACCCATTGCCACCTCCCTTTTTAACCAGAAGTGACATAGCGCCTCACACAATGTTCGGCCCCCTTGACTCTGTCTGCAACTCTCCTATCAGTTGCCGGGGACCTGGCAACTCTAAGATACGTTAATAGTAAAAAAAAATTGTCCCTGTTGCTAGTGCACATACACAGAGTGTTAGTGCGCCCTAGGTTCTGCCTCGGTTTGCAAGCACACTGAGAACACCAGGGAGACAGCAAGGCAAATTTTCATAGCAGTGGGAAGGATTCCTCCACTGCTCTGACCCTTAGCTTGTCCCTCACTACAGGACACCTCCTAAGTGCTCAGCCCTTAATTCCAGCTCTTTGGGCCTGATGCCTGCAGTTCTGTCCTCGACACCAGTGAGCTCATGACTCTGACTACCCCTCTTCCTGTCACATGACTCTGATTACCAGATGACAGAGATCTGTTCCCCTGGAGGAAATAGCTGCTTTGGAGGGGAGACTCTTGTGCCTCTTCCCAAACCCCACACTCTCCAAGCTCCACCCCCAAAGTATCCAGGAATCTCCCAACTCAGAGTTGGTAACCAGACCCACCGTGTCAGGGAAAGGAGTTTGTAAGCTGCTCTGAGACTCCTTTGGGTAGTGAAGGGCGGGGTATAAATCCAATCTCTTCTTCTTCTTCTTCTTCTACTGCCCCAACAAGCTCATTCCATCCTCTGCAAATAGGACCCTCAGCCTTACCTTTAAGGCTGCTGTTTTCCGCTGCTCCGCCAGCAACATGTTGATCTCCTCCCTGGCTACGACTACCTCGTGAGGTTCTGGCGATTCTTCTCTGGACCCCTCTTCCTCCTCCTCTTCCTCCATGGCTTCATCGTCTCCTTCGCTGACTTGCCGCTTGCGAAATCTGCAATCCTGGTGAGCTTTTTCTCGCTCCCAGCTGCAAGAAAAGGGCATTTTAGCAAAGCGCGGCCCTATCTTGGGACTCCTGTGGGATTCGTACTCCAGAGAAGCAGGGTCCAGTCTGCGGACGACCCTCTAGCCCACCATTCCTACTGTCAGTTGCTGGAGGCCAAGATACCACTCCCATTGACCAGGAAAACCACAGATACCACTTTGTTGACCAGGTACCAGGCCAGACCTTGTAGCACAGGGATCTCTGACGTGGTGCCCAAGGGTGCCAGGGCGCCAATTAGAGGCTTCACACTGCCTGCCAGTCATGCGATTAAGCAGTGCAACTTTTTTGTACCTGAACCCTCACAAACACCCCCAAGTCCTGGGTTGGATCCCAGGCTTGACCTTGAGGTTCCAGGTTCAAGTCCTGCACTCCCTCCCAACACGTCGAGAGTAAAAACGAGGGTCGGCGTTTTTGTTTATTCCTTAAAGAGAGAATCTAACCCAAAATTCTGTAAAATTGATGCTTTGTTAATTGTTTCTATATTTGAATTGTGTCATACATTTGGTAATATGTTTGATTTTACTTGTTGTACGTAACAGTTCATAACATTTTCCCCCTCCCCTTCGTCCCTTCTGTATCCCACCTTTATTTTTTGCTTGAGAAAATAATTTTTTTTTTAAAAAAAAGAGTAAAAACTAGGGGTTTGGGGGGTGGGGTGGATGTTTGAATTATGTCAAAACGTCTCTGCAAATGATAAGGAAGCTCAAACAAATTAAGCCTGCCGCCCGAAACAGCCAGTGTGGTCTAGCAGTGGGAGGTAGGTAGGTAGGTAGAAAATGTATTGCATATGGTCATAGGCCTTCACAATCTAAAACAATAAAATACGTCAGTAAAATTAAACAATACAATACATATTATCTAAGATTTGGTTAACTTTAAAATCTGATAGTTTCGAGCAAACTAGCTAGCAGCAGCTGTATCATTTGATACTTTCCTAGTTGCTACATTTGCTCTTATTTTCCTGGCTGCTAGAGCAAAAAGTGCCATCCTGTTAGATACAAAAGAATCTGTATCTGACAACATAAAAATTAATTAATCAGAGTCAGAGAAAAAATGGAGACCAAGGTCTAGCAGTGATGATGTTGATCTAGGGAGACCCAGATTCGAATCCTCCTTCTCTAACGGAAGCCGCCTGGGCAGTGAGGGGCATTTGAAGAATCACAGCCTCTGAAGAACTGAGCTCTGACTTCGTTTTGCTACAAGAGACTCACAACTATCCCTCTGCAATGACTGTGGGCCTGTTAGCCTCACCCCAGCCTACCTCACAGGGTTGTTGCTCTGAAGATAAACCTGGAAGAGGGGAGAATGAGGTAATGCTGCCCTCAGGAACAGCAGGATAAAGATCAATGAAGAAGATCAAAATCCGAGGTGAGTAATTAGGGAAATGAAATACACCTTCTGACCTATGTTGGTTCCAAACCCACTTGAAAAAGCAATGTACGCGTCATGTCCAAATCCTTCCTTATTTCCCCCATCCTTTTTTCCTCCCCAGCCTCTCCCTTCCACTGGATGTTTAGTAGGGAGAGCCGTGGAAGTGCGAGAATTTCGGCTGTCAGTATGTTGGGTACTGCTATGCCTTCTAGTGGGCACAAGGGGTAAGTGCAAGCAACTGCAGCAGATTAGAAGGAAGCAGGGATGAGATGAGGTTGTTCTGTGTGTTTTGTGTTGTTGTGTGTTCTGTTCTAATAAACTGAAATCACTGATTAAAGAAAGACCTGCCTGCTCTTGAGTTAAAACAATTTATGTGCACACCATAGCAACCTGGCCAAGTACATCCTCACCAAACCTGATGTGATTTTTTTTTAATGGTCTGAATAAGAAGTATTAGCCTACTGTTTGCTTTGCATTTTTTTATTCCTCTCTATTGTCCAGGGTAGTCATGGGCAGTGTTCCCTCTGACCTGAGTGAGTGTGAGCCAGCTCACAGTTTTTTAGCCTTCAGCTCACACACTTTTGTCTTCGCTCAGGAAGGAGGGCTCCAGAGCAAACTAATTCCTGCAGTAGCCAAATCACTCGCTCACAACTTTAATGCCCAGTGGCTCACAAAGTGGACTTTTTGCTCAGAAGACTCCACAGTTTAGAGGGAGCATTGGTCATGGGATTTTCAGACCCTCTGTAGGCATGCAGAACACCAGCTGAAGAGGGAGACAGAGGAAGCTGTGGAGACCCATGTTCAAATCCCCACTGTGTCTCCAAGCTGACTTTGTGACTGAGTAGCCAGCTCTGAGTTGGGAAATACCTTGAGTTTTGGTGGGAGGGTGGGGTTCAGGGAGTGGAGAGACCTCAGCAGGAAACTATGCCATCAAATCCCCAAGGGAACTAGTCTCTTTTGTCTGGAGAGCAGTCGTAATGTTGGAAGATCTCCAGGCCCCACCTGGAGATTGACAACCCTACTGTGTGACCTTGGGCCAGTCATACCCCCTCAACCTTACCTACCTATTGTGAGGATTAAAATGGAGGAGACGGAGAACCACACACTCCTTCACTACCCGAAGGAGTCTCAGAGCGGCTTACAAACTCCTTTTCCTTCCCCTCCCCACAACAGACACCCTGTGAGCAATGTTCCGTCTAAACTGTGGAGCCTTGTGAGCAAAAATTCTACTCTGTGAGCGAATGGCATTAAAGTTGTGAGCGAGCGATGTGGCTACTGCATAAATTCGTTTGCTCTGGAGCCATCCTTCCTGAGCTAGGAAAAAAACGTGTGAGCCGGAGGCTAAAAAACTGTAAGCTAGCTCACACTAACTCAGCTTAGAGGGAACACTGCCTGTGAAAGGTAGGTGGGGCTGAGAGAGCTCTTTCGAGAACTGCCTCTGAGAGAACAGCTCTGAGAGAACTATGGCTTGCCCAAGGTCATCCAGCAGCTGCAAGGGGAGGAGTGGGGAATCAAACCCAGTTCTCTCAGATTAGAGTCCGTGCTCCTAACCACTACACCAGACTGGCTCTCTTCTTCAAACGGAATAAGGGTAGAAAGGGAATGGACAGGTGGAAATGTTGCTGATCATCAGAAGTCTGCAAGTGGTTGCATTAGACAGAGAACCAATCTCGTCTGTTTGCAAAGAGAAGAAAAATGCCTTCTTGTGAACGGATAGCCCTACTCACTCGGCAATTGTTAGGAGGTGCCTAGAGGTGTCGACGTGCAGCTCCATGTTGGTGTTCTCCAGCTCCATGAGACTGTGGCGCATGTCCATTTGGTCTTTGAACGCCCCAATCAGCTGCTTCCGGAGCTTGTTCATTTCTTGACGGCTGAACTCCTCGGAGTCCTGCTGGGTCTCCCCTGGGAGGGAAACAAAAGAGTGGCCATTTCTCCCTCTCAGCTTTAAATTCAAAACTGGAATTTCTAGCCCTTAATATCACTTCGAAAGTGATGCTTACAACTGCCTTTCCCTTCCCCTCCCCACAACAGACACCCTGTGAGGTAGGTGGGGCTGAGAGAGCTCTTAGAGAACTGCTCTTGAGAGAACAGCTCTGAGAGAACTGTGACTGACCCAAGGTCACCCAGCTGGCTGCATGTGAAGAAGTGGAGAATCAAACCCAGTTCTCCAGATTAGAGTATGCCACTTTTAACCACTACACCAAACTGGCACCAAGAATACAGAGCATTACTGCCCAAGATGGAGTGTTCCATCTATTAGTGCCTAATAGCCACTGATGGACCTCTGCTCCATATGTTTACCCAATCCCCTCTTGAAGCTGTCTATGCTCATGGCCGCCACCACTTCCTGTGGCAGTGAATTCCATGCGTTAATTACTTTTTGGGTGAAGAAGTATTTCCTTTTATCCACTGTAAAGATGTATAAGATATCAAATAAACCATCAGTGCAGTACAAGCATGCTGGGCCCATAACCTGTTGGCTGAGTGATTACACAACCAAGTTCCCACCTCTGACTTGTAGATCTTTGGCCCCAGAACCGAGCAAGCTTCTATCCTTCTCTTGGTTTTCAACCTTTGCCTTCAAGCGCTCGATCTCCCGGCGCAGATCCGAAATGATGCTGGTGTACTGAGCAATGTGGTAGGAGACGTTAAGCAGGTTCCTCTTGACCTGTCGGGTCAGAACCACCACCAGATCCCATCAAAAGAGAAACCCCGTTGCAATACAGGAGCTATCCAATTAAAGGAGGACAGCCTACGGTCATAAGAAAAGTGTCGGACAGGATATCCTTCAAGCATGCCGAATAACAGCATGTGTAGAACACTGGAAATGCCTCCGTTCAGAGCTGGGGTTAATTTAATTTGAGATGAGCATGTCTGAATTTTCCAGCTCTGGCGATCTGGTACAGAAAATGTCAGCAAAAGTCACACACAACATTAGATCGGAGTGCAGTAGCACCTTAGAGACCGACCATATTTTTGGGGTATAAGCTTTCAGGAGTCAAAGTGTCCTTTGTATCTGACAAAGGTAGTGCTGACTTCTCAAAAGCTTACAACCTAAAAATCATTTTGGGTCTCTAAGGTACTACTGGACTCGATCAACATGGCTCACAGAGCTGGGAGGCAGTGTGTGAGCCTCGATGCTGGACTAGATGGACCACTAGTTTGATCCAGCAGGGCTCTTCTTCAGTCTGCAACGAATGCGGGGAAAGAGCCTGGTGACAAAAGATGAAGCCATTAAGAGGGGGAAGTGGAATAGGGGAAGCAATGAATGCGAGTCAAAGAGCCAAAGCCTTCCTTCGTACCTTTCGTCAAGGCAAGAAGTCGGTGCGGGAATACACTCTAGAATTTCACAACCAGGCAGCGAAGCTGAGAGACTGCCCTGATCACATTCTAGCGGAGATGTACCGGCTGGGACTCACGGCAGAGATACGGGAGACCGTTCTACGGTCGGTTAATCCTGTCTCCCTGATGGCATGGGCACAAGAAGCGGAAAATGCTGAAGATCGCCTAAACACCATTAAACTTGACTTGGCTGCGACGGGTGGGAGATCCAGCAACCCTGCGGTGGCCAGACCCCGTCCCCTGCGCTTGTCTGACTCCGCCCGGGACCTTCGAATGAAGATGGGGCTCTGTCTCAAATGCGGGGAGAAAGGACATTTCGCAGCGGAGTGTGGAAGCCGCCAACCTAACGACAAGCCGCAAAGGCCAAAACCGAAAACTCCCCTGCCAGCAAAGAAAGGGCTGGCTAAGCCGAAGTTTTCAAAAGCTCTCCAGGCTGCTCAAGACCCCGCCGCCGGCGAGCCCGCTGCCACCGAATCCACTGATGACTCTGAACCCGAACCGGCGGAAAACGAGAACGGCCTGTTGTGAGGGGCGCAAAACGACAAGGCCGTTCCGCTGGTGCGCCACAGGTGGTGAGAGAAACCCCCTCTCTTTTTTTTGTGACTGTCTCCCTGATGAACCCCGTCCTTGGCACGCATGTCCGGGTGAGAGCTCTGGTTGACTCGGGTTGTGGGAGAGACTTGATTAGCCCTAGGGTGGTACTGGGACTCGAGGCGGGGGTCACCGTTTTAAAATCACCCATTATTTTCACCCAAATGGATGGGGCTCCTATGGAACCATGCACGCATGAATCCATGCCGCTGAGCCTGGGAGCGGGCGATCATTGGGAGCAAAGGACTTTCATAGTTACTCCTAAGTCTCAGTTCGATTTGGTCCTTGGCAGCCCTTGGCTTTTTACTCACGATCCTTACATC